AATTCTCCTTAATTGTGGCAGTCACTAAACAAGCTTGACATTGTTGAGGGTGTTCTTCAATTTTTCAGGTCTTTTCAGAATTCTTCATTTTGTGATCCTAGTAATATATCTGGGAGATTATGGTTTTCTGTGAAAGACATTTAAGACCAAAAGTGCATGCATGACAAGTGCATTCAAAAGTCAACAACGTTGAGCCATAACTAATGAAGCATTTCCAAAGCCATTTCAGTCTTTTTCACACGGAACTCTCTCACTTAAGCCCAGATGTTAAAGTTACATTTCCCTGCAATATGGCAGGTGGGTAAACAACAGCAATAAGAAGGCTATTTAGAAAACCGGTAACCTTGGATCTTCAAACATATTTCTTCTGTAATTAATAATAAAGTTTAATTTATGAGTGTTTTTCAAGAAATATAAACTGCACCAAAGCACACAACCAGATGTAAAAGAGAAACAGTACAAGAAATTGTCATAGTGAAATCAAGAGCAGGACCACACATTAAAAGAGACAGTAAAAAGACAGACCTTCAAGCAAACTTTGAAAATGTCAGCCTGTCCAATCTCTGATGGATTTTGGAAATGTGTTCCATGGTAGTTAGTGGTGATGCACTTGAAAAGGCTCTATAGCCTGCTGTGTGGAGCCTGGTCTTTGGCTAAATAAGAATGCCAGAATCAGCAGATCTCAGATTAAGAGTTGAACTCTACTCTTTTTCAATAAGTGTTAATTTAATCTGTAGCTAGACCATTAAGTCCACTCTAAAGTTCACAGGGAGCCTTTACAATTTACAAAGCATAGAAGTTATGTGCTGATGCAAGTACTTTCAGCTAGTACTACACAGGCTGCTGATTTCTAGACACAGTGAAGGCTATTTAGTACTATAGAAGATTTTTTTTCGTCTAACTTTCCTGATTATAATCTACACTTTGTTCTTCAAATATATTGATCATAAAAGTATGTTCATAATTGTCTGTCACAAGAGCATTCCATGAATGAGGTTCCAAAGACGGTTATGGTAACCCACTTACCATTACTTCTAGCATGACATTTTTGTCAGTAATGATGTATTCTAATTTATTTCTTAGCATGAAAAAGAATGAAAAGGCTATTAAATGCTTTGTTTAAAGTGGTGTGTCATGGCTTCTTTCAATTCCCTCACCAGCTCACCCTGCCAAGGGAGAACAGTTATTGTCAAAGTAGTCAAACTTATCCTATATGTTGCTATGTTACGATTCCTTATCAGTTCCAGTGATGTGACCAGAGCTGTCTAGTGACACTTGACATTCTTGGACACATGAATAAGGTGTTTTGAATATACAATTTATATATATATATTTCAATGAATGAAAAAGTGATAGGTTTATTCCATGCTGAAAAGAGAAGACAGGAAACACAATGTTTCAGCTGTGGAGGCTTCTTCGGCTCCACATCTGAAGAAGGCTCCACAGCTGAAACATTGTGTTTCCTTTCTTTTCTTTTCAGCATGGACCTTTTACTTGTTCCTTTGCAGCCAGTGCATGCTGCTGCAGCTACTGTACCCAGTTGATATATGTCAATTATACTGTTATATACAGATTTTTTTAATCCGTTCCGGCACTGTGCTCTCTATCAGGCAGTCATTTTTGAAGAACTGGGGAATCAGATTTTCACATGATTCTCTCCTTTGTGTAAGCTCATGTTTTGAAAGACTCCTATGGCTTTTTATGGGGTAATAATGGAGTAACGGAGGGAAAGTGTCCATAAAGTATACCCACACTCATTTCCTTTTTAATTGAGTGATACATGTTTTCTTTCTTCATATTACTTCAACATGATTCTAAGGTAGGTCTATTATTCAAACCACATGTAAATATACACCTTCAAGCAAGTAATATTGTGTTTTTAGTACAAACCTAATGTGCACTTTCCCCACTCACAAGGACCCAGGACAAACACTTCTATTTTTTGAGACATGATGAGCCTGTGGTCATATTTCACAGTGCCCTGCTTTCTACCAGAAAGGTGAAGGTCAGCCTGTTCTTTGATAAGGGTTTAAAGGACCATAATCTTGACTTCTTGTCCTACGTCTCAGAGCTTTTCTATATCAGCCACCTGAATAGAATCACTGTACATCCCTAAACATATGATTTAGCCTTATGTTTCCTGTTGGGACAATAAAAGCTGCCAAATGATGAGAATTTTAAGTTTATGTAAATTCTCATTGCTATATCCATTATAGTGTTCAGCTTCGGAGTATATTTATCCTCTTATTCACTTGCACTGTATGACATGCTAATCTTCAGTGACAGGATGCTTTTGGTAGACAAGATGAACACATTAACATATATAATATTGGATAATTGCTGTTTGAGTCATTTTTCAAGCATTGCTTTTTAACAGTCATCTGACAGAAAATCATTGGACTTTTGATGGAAACAACTGTGGAAAATATAACCTTTGGTGTCTCAACCTACTGAAATAATGCAATGAGGGATGTTCACTCAAGTGGAATCAATTTAGTAATGAAAGCTGCTGTAGTGTGCTATTAGAAAGTGCAATTAAAATGCTGAAGTGCATGCATTTAAAAATAGCCACATTTCAATCCCTTTATCCCATACTTAAAAAATAAGAAGCAACAATACAATAATTCATTTTTCTCTGGATGATGATGGCAACATTAAAAAAAAAAACAAAACACTGGTTTGGCAAGAGAGATATATAAACAAAGTTTGAAGAGTTCAGTGAAATCCAATGTAAACAAAAGTTATAAGTCATTTTTCAAATCAAACCACTAAACAGAATAGACATAAAACAAGCATAAAATAGTTTAAACTTATGTGGTTAATAAGGAATTACCTGTTCCAATGAAGGCAAGGAAAGTCCTTTAATGTTGAGTAACAGACTTAAAGAGCACATAATATACTCCAGACTAGTCTGATCAGATTCTGCATTCTTTTAAATTTGTAAATTGTTGGAAATTATAAGCCTGTTTTAAACAAAATGCATGCAGTTCTGTTGTCTCATATGATCATACCTGCCAGAAAACAGATTCTATTTGGTTTTAATTAAATATGCTGCCAACTAGTTGTAATATTATTATATATTAAAAAAAAAGATCTTCTACACTGTGGAACCATGCAGCTGTTTGTGAATGATGTGGCACATGGCTATAGACCTCAGGCTGTTCATATCCATTTTTGCTGACATTTATAACAAAACAACAACTAAGAACATTAGGAACCGACAGCTTTGATGTCGTATGAATGGTGTTTATCATTCAGGAAAGAAAGATAATACTTGTATGTTCTATTGTTTTCAACATATTCTAAATATTTAATGTTTACCTTCCATTTTCCACATTTAGTTCCCCCATTACAAGAGAAACAAATGTGATGCTTCGCACACAAGGAGTCTTGATAATATAAATATGTTCCTTCCTCGGATTCACACAAGTATTTTCTAAAATATTACTTGTTTATACAGCACATCAAAACAGGCCAAATGTTCCCCTGTTTAAAGTTCCTAATTTCACCTTATTTAAAGAAGGCAATGTTTAAAAAAGGTGTATTACTTGTAACAAAAATAGTAACTACTGGATACTGGTATGAAGAAATCATATAGAGGCATATAATGATACCAAATTATTACTAAGACCGACAAAGACAATGTCTGTTTTAGGTATACGGTTGCTATACATCTGAGTGTCGCATGAAAGTGCTGTGTGTAATCCCCTTAGTTCCGACTGAGTATTAGTGCAAATTCCCAAAACTCAACACGTTGTTAATGAAATCGTCCGCTTTGAAGGACAGTCATAATTACAAGGATTTTAACGTGACGATCAACACAGTTTTCATCTAAAGTCAAGAACAAGTTAATTTCAGATGTAAACAATTACGGTCAAATGCAACGGAAGAGACACTAAAGTAGACTATTTGTTCAGCTGACACAGTCTCCACTTATTTCATTTTGCAAACTTCCCCAAATGTCTGGGACACAAGTCTGCTATTTTTGAACTCCGCATAACAAGCAGTTGCAGTCTCAAAAATGCCATCTTCAATCTGCCTTTGTAAACAACATTTGATCTCTTAGCATTTTTACCTTAGCATTTCACATTCTATTCATGTGGAATGAACAGGGACCAGAAACATCTTTCATGAAAAATGACAAATGATCTCAAACTATCATTGCAAGCTATATGTAATAGGGGTTCACTGCTCTTAGGAAAGTACAAGAACAACAGAATGCACTCTTCCTGGGGGCACATATACACAGGCAATGGCAGTTACATGCCAGTGAAACAGACTATTTAACAAGTATGTTGACACAGAAGCAGCAGAACATATATTTTGTTTCATCAACAGGATGATTTAATTTAATTAACTTAAGCATGCATTAATAATCATTATATGTGAAATATCCCAGAATTCAGCTCAAGAGCTGTTATTCATAAAAGGTATATGAAAAAATATTCTGTATGAACAATTGTCTTTGATTGGTCAAGTCACTTGGTTTTAATTGATGCAAAATTACCTAGGACTGTAGTTGAAAGAATGAATATTCCAAGCTCATGTACATACTGTTTAGGACATAAAGGTAACGGAATACATTTATTCACACATGGCACACTCCAATGTAATGCAGTGTATAGTCTGACTGGACAATCTCAGAACGTGACTGAGCAAAGTGGGGAGCATTGTGAATGTGTTTGGATTGCTCAGTTGCTAATTAGACATGTCCTAGATGAATTTGCAGAAAATAATCAAAAGGTATTATAACTATTCGTTTTTGTCAGACAATAAAAACAACACACCTGGTACTAATATTCTGAATATTTAGCAAGGAAGTTAAATAAATCATGTGAGTTAAGGGATTTGGTCTTATATGCAGGCTTATATGCAGCAAAACCTTAGCTCCTAATAATTAGATTACATTACTGTGGCATTCATTGTGCATTTTTTGAATACATTCATTGAATGTATGTTTATTATGGTGTGAGACTTAACACCCTCCCACATATACTCACCTGAGAGAAATTCAGCCCATTCAAAGGGTGACACTGCTCTTCCACCTTCTCCACGGCCCCTGTGGTCTTTCTCATCCGCTCAGCTTCTTGAGCTAGGTACAGGTCCAGGACAGGCACTCCCCTCGTCTTAATATCCGCCTCCGTGAGGGAATTCACCATCAGCATCACCCAAACCGGTCGCTTTCGTTCCCAATTCCCAGCAATGGCGTTGAACAAGTAGTCTGCATACAGACCCTTGCCCCGCTGGTCGGGGGTCATCCAAGAGGGCATCATCAGTTTGACGTACTCCAGGTGACGTTTCAGCCTTCTGTAAATGTCACGTGGTAAGACATCCTGCAGGTTCTCCCCCTGAGGCAGCAATTGGCAACTGGTTAGGGCTGAGATGGTGTAAGGGTCAGTCAAGTCCAGCTCAAAGTAGACAATGTTGCTCTCTTGGAAAGCTTTCTTGGAATTGTCTGGGATGAAATCCCAAACCCGGGTATACGGAACATGGATAGTGCCGAAAAAGTAAGATGGGGGATCCCTCTTGATGGTCCACAGGAAAGAATTCAATTCACTTTGCTGTCACAGCAAAAGGGAGAAGAAACAAAAACATTTTTACAAGGCAATCTTGTCCCTTAACCACTCAGGAACTAGTATAGAGCCGCTGACTTTCTTGATTTAAATCAATTTTTATATTAGATATCATTTTAGACATGAAGTTTCACTTTTCAAAATAGACCAGAAAATAATGGAATGCATCATCGAATAGCTACCTTTCTTAACTGCTCTATTGGAAGTCTTGAACTGTTCTCCCAGATTTAAAGGTTAAGGCAAAGTATCATTAATTTTTAGCAAGAGATACTTTTCGTTTATATCGGTTACGCCTGATGTGGAAATGAAAGGAGAATATTTGATTTTACGGTTAACAACACTTGGCCTTTTTTGCTTTTATGTAGACTTTGCTTCCATATATGACTTAAATCTTGAACGGAATTAGTGTGAACTGCACTTTCAACTCAACATCTTAATTCTTTCACCAGATACATCCCAGACCACGAATTGCACATTCCAAGTTAACTGAATGTTCAATCTGATGTAGATAACGAACTACAAACTTTAAAACAATCCAAATAACCCGGGAGATACTGACAGGACCTAATAGGTGTTTTGTTTAAAATATATTTGAAGAGATAATATGTTGCAGAACACTGCAAGTATATTAGAGACCAACGCTCAATTATCCTGGGGGGGGAGTAAAACTTAGATAGGGAATTAAATTACCGTCGCTCTTAAAATTCACTTTGGAAACTTTGTTTTTTAAAACACTAAGCACAGGAACATCGCTGCGATGACAATTGGTGCAACGCTTTTCTGTTTGGCGTTGTACGCTGAGAATACGAGAGGACATGGACGTACTTTTAATGAGCGATTGGAACTAGGGTGTGGGCAAGACCAATGTAAATACACACAAGCACAAAGCAAAAAACAAACATCGGATCCTGTCGCACTCCAAGGTGCTTAATAGTCTTCACAGGAACTAATCATCTGACACTTAAGAAAAAACGCTTTACCTAATCAACATTAAAAAGGGAGGGTGCTCGGGAGGAGGTCAATATCCAGCCTTAGATAATTACTTGTTTTTCAGGTAATACGGAAAGAAATAGGAACATACACAAGACCATTTTAAGCATTGGCCGCTTAAAATACAGATGTTCTTCCTGCGAATCTCTGAGGAAAGTTTTTTTTTAATTTAGCGTTGGAAGCACCTTGCTATGATCTCCATAAAAAGATGGTTGCAATCCTGCCCCAACCTTGTTGCCTTTACACTATAGCGAAAATAAAATATAGCACAAACATGTTTTCAAAACAACTCTAAAATACATTTACTGTCACTTTATCTCCTTCCTAAAATGGCAGTATTTCTTTCACGAGAAAAAGACCTGCACTTCTCTCATTGTAACTCTTCTGAGATGGATACAGAAGTTACAAATCTGTTACAAGGTGCGTAAAATCAAAGTCCGATCACTAAAGTCACCTTGACACTAAGATACAGAGATCAATTTAAATGGAAAATATTGAACATGGTGAAATAAAAATAGAGGTAAAATAAATGTGGTATAAGAAAATCCCAAAAGCATCACTCGCAAAAGTTAAGATGCTGCTCAGATTTTGAAGAGCACCATATAAGCCACCTCATATTACCAAGTCAAAACACCTTAAAATGGTCCTGGAAGAAAACAAAAAATAAGAACCGCCAAATTTTAAACAACGCGAATATATCACTGTTCTGAAATAACCACGATTCTGATCCTGATGTATATGAGTATCAAGTACCACCACACGTCAAATCCGGAGCATCAAAATAAAATATGTTGATGGTTTGTTCGATTGAAAATGGCAAGCACGGAAAAGAGAGGTTCTAAAATTGTGACCTAACACAGAATACCGAATTTGGATTTTTAAGTAAGAAATATGGATTTTTAATATATATCCATGACCATTCGACATACTTGGAACTAAACGTACTTCGCTCATACCCTGGTTTGAGAGGGCAACTCGCAACTCCGCACAGAACTACATCCATACTCTAGACATACTTTTTGTGTAGTAGGTTTTTAAAGTACTTACTTTCTTGTTTAGTTCGCAGTTTGTAGGGTCTCTTGCACTCCTTTGGTTGGCTTTAACTAGCAATATTAGAAATGCGTGGATAAATGTACCCCAAGTGAACAGCATCGTAGCTCCAAACGTGAAGGGAAATGATCAATTCTTCGGTACCTAAATTCTCCCAAGAGAAACTTTTCTTGCACGCCTTCACCTAAGGTATCAGAACTCCGGAATTTATCGGATGTGCATCCGCCATCCTGACAGGAGTCTTTCAGGGTAGGTGGAACTGTTAAGAATTTATGTTGCGATTTATTGTGTGCATGAAGTTTAAATCCTTGATGGGATAAGTGAGTGTTTTCATTCACATGCTGCAAGCGCCTCGGTATAAAATGCCCCCTTTTTCTCCTTTCCGGATGCGGTACAGCTAATGATCGGGTACGTTTCAGTTTATATCATCACGGTTTTGATTCAGGTACAACCGTATCTCGGTTTGAGAGAGAAATCCGTTCTTAGCCCCTAGCTAAACTTTTCTCTTAGTTATAAAGTCTCTTCCCTCACTCCACATTGCTTCCCCATTGGTCCGACAGCCCAGTGGTATATCCTGTGAATAACCGTGTGATTCCAGAAATCCGTATGAACGGTGAGGAAAACCGTTAATTTTCGTTTTTTTTTTTACCTTCTCTTTGGATTGATTTTTACAAACATTGGAATGAAACGTATTTTGCAGTTCCACGCTGTGCTCCTACATGGAGGCGAAGCCTTTTCTTGATTGAGGCTTGCCTAACCCTAAATCTTTCAGCGGAGCTCAATCTTTCTTGTCCTGGTATTTGAATCTGGCTCCTACAAACTGCTCCTACACCATCAAAGCGGTGTCACCCAAACTGCAAGTCTTGTCCTTGTTTCCCTGGTTTTATGTCAGTCTCCTTGTCTGTGTTGTTTGCAGTGCCTGCATCCGTCCTTGAGGCTGCCCAAGAGCAAGTTTCAAAAGTTGTGTGTTCATCTCTGTCAGGACAGAACAGCAGTCTACCTAAATCCCAAATCTCTCCCGCACACTCCCATTCTGTGCAATAATCTGATTAAAGCATCTCATTCACCGCGGGGCTTCGGAGGAGGAGCGCAAGCACTCATTGAGAAAAAAAGGGAGGAGAAACTCGAGAGAAAATATATTAAAAACAAGTCAGCGCAGCACTCATTGAAGTAAATATAATCACATGTTTATCACTCGCAAGTTGGTGAGTTTAAAGTTTGTAATTTAGCTCTTAAATTACATTCATCATCTGCACCGAAGATTACATTAAAATCTTCATTAAATATTGCACAAAAAAAGACTCGGTTTATATAAATACAAAATTAGTTGCAGATATGATGTGAACACATTGAATAGTTGTTTTTCCATTTCGTAAATGTCAGCAACTTTATAAAAAGGAACACGTTGCTTCATTGTATACCTATAGCGTCTTATATTTGGCCTAAATCGACGGAAAGTATATAACAGTTCCTCACAAAAGAACACTTTTGATACTCATTCAGATAACAAATGCAATTTACACCTTCAGAAAGGAAATTATCCCGTTTTGCCAGGCCAGGCAGGTAGTTACTTTAACTGGATCTGTTTTTTTGTCTGTATATTGAGTCTAATTAGAAAGTTTGTGAAGGTTAATTAATGAAGCTGTGAGAATGACTGCAGGAGGTACTGATTTCTTAATTTCCTGTTGTCTACATGATCTTGGTGCTCCGCTAATATGCAGCAGACAATTAGTATGGAAATTGGGTTAAGACTTTGAGACACCTTGTTTTCTGGTGAAATAGTCAATAGTCACACTAACTGAACCATGAATGATCCTGTTTTCTGTAGACGATTTGTAAACAGCAAATGTTAAAAATTAGGTTTCTGTAATCTCTTAAATGAGCCAAAGTCAGCATTGTGAACGGATGTCTTTCAGATTAGCCTTAATGTTTAACTTTAAACCTTTTAGAGAGGACTTCATTCTTGACATTGTTCATTGATTTTGTATTTATTTGTTATAAAGATAATCCCTGTTTAAGCCTGCATTTGTAAAGGTGTTTTAAAGCAAAATATAGCATATTACTAAATTGATAATGGATATAAACCATAAATAACATCACTGTGCGTTTGATTTCTTTGTTAGTTAGTGTCATTTAAGATATACCCAAAGTAACCGGGATTCTACCATGGATTAGTCAAGGCTCATCAGCAAACAATTAAAATAACACGTAAGGTGATTAATTCTATTCATGAACGATAATGTTAAAGTAAATCATTATGAATTCCAATCCAAAACTTTCAAAACTAAAATCTTTATTTCTTCAGGTACATTAATCAGAGCTGGTGCTCATTACCGTATTTCACCGCTAGGAGGAGCTTCTCTCAGGTATTCTTCGTAAAATAATGTGTAAAGCAAAATAAACTTGGAAGTACTTCGTCAGCAAACGATATAGTGATTCATTCAAGCACATATGTATGCTATTTTAGATTTTATACATAGCATGTTGTTTGAAAAATATATATACTGTAATGTTTTACAGTTTTACCTAAGGAAAAGCTAATCACTTTTACATTAAACCCGATCTTTTTATTCCCAAATTAAAGTCCGACAAATTTACTTCAGAATCCAAGGAAGATTGTTATTACTCTTTCAAAATTTCTGAGAATTTGTTTTATGTACAGTTACAAATGGACAACGAAGGCAGTGAAAAAGAATATATTGACTATCGTGTGACACCCGAAGAAGGCTCCACAGCCGAAACATTGTGTTTTCTTTCTTCTCTATTCAGCATGGAATAAACCTATACTTGTTCCTTTGAAGCCAGCATATGCTGACAGAGCTACCCACCTGTGTTAAGACAACACATATACCAACTCATGATCATCTTAGAATTTTTTTTTTATTTTAAAAAGGCTTATTTATGTGTTTACCATCCTTGAGTTAAGAAAATACCAAGAAAGTGTTTTTCCATAGCAAATAGTTTAAGAATTTGTGGTAAGTGACTGGCTATGCAGTGAAATTAGGAAATCACTTACCACAGGATGTTTCTTCAAATACTGTAACTCACAATGCAACAGAAAAGTCCAAGAGTATTATTATCATTCACAATTGGTCTGGGCTTGTTGGTGAGACGTCTCCACAGAGTCCAGCCACAGAGGAAGATCTGCAGACTTGCATCTTCCTTTTGACAAACAACATTTTTATTAAAAAAAAAAACTTTATCTACTAGGTTTCCACAAACTTTCAATGTGGCAAATTAAACTACAGTTTACTATGAGCTAGACATAGGGTTATTTAATACAGTATTTCAACTTGTAGTAATCATAGTGCCATTCCACTGTGTTCTGGAATCTTCAAACTTAGTATGTTAATTTCAAGTCTGTAGATCTAATTTTTTATACATCACGTTTAAATAATGTTGACTTGTTGCTACATCAACCTGTAAATGGATTTTTAGTATCGGTTTGTGTCTGTCCCAAATACTGAAAGGTGAGAAGAATCTAGTTTGTCAACTGCATGCTTTGGAATCAAATATATCCTTTGCATCTTACGCATGCTGACGAACCTACCCACCTAAATTAACCAATGTTGTGTGAGGAAGATTGGAGGCTTTATCACACTCATCACTTTGTTCTTCATCTAAATATGTTGTGTAACAAACTATACCAATGCATTGATGACATTTTGACCATAAGTAAAAAGATATGGTTTTGTTTTCCTGGTGAGTCAAAAGTATAAAATGCTCATGGTCAAGAATTTTTCATTTTACTTCCCTGCCATATATGTATTACTGCCTTTTATACTCCACATCAAGTTCCATATATTTCCTAGTGTTGTGTTTATGTACTGGAAAAAAAATCTGTACTTCCAATGATGTTGATCATGATCATTAATGTACATACAACACATCAAATACATTTATCACTCATATCATGCAAATATGTTTTCTAGAAAAAAATATGTATTCTGGTTATTAATTAAAGGTTTTGTGTATACCGCCATGATGTACATCATTAGGTACTCCTGACATAAGTCCAACTGAGCATGTGTGGGATGAGCTGGGGTAATGTGTAGAATCTAGGGCTCAGAAACCTGTGAGCAGACCCACAAGGCAACATGTGCAACCCAGTGCAAAACACCCATCACAGATGTATAGTTTGTATTGCTTCCAACATTGGCCACACTTGATACTAGCCTGTGGCCTTCATAGTAGGATACTACTCTCTTCATGGAAAATTTGAATGAGCATATTCAGTTTACCCAAATCAAGTCTGTTAAATAAAATGTCTATGTTCCAGCTAGAAAAAAAGGTAACTGTCCTCATATTAGCTTTTCAAGAAGGGAGCTGCATCAGCATGCGTAGGCTGCAAAGGAACAAGTACAGAAACATGCTCCACAGGCTCCACATCCGAAACATGGTATAGGTAGGAAAGGTTGGTAAATTGGTCCAAGTAAGCCAGTAACTAGCTGATTCAAGTCATTAAAAGTTGGGCTGAATAATAGACAGTCAGCAGAGACACCAGCTCTCTGAAGCTCGACCACGGTGTGTTACACAATTTCAAACATTCTTTTCAATAGCCCAGTATGAGATCTACTAGACATCTTTAGATACCTTCATATACAGTATTATGAGTGGAACATTTTTATGAAAAAAGTCAATTTTCTTTCAAGAAAAGTGGTATTTGTTATTTAGATAAGAAGTGATATGAAGTGACTTTTAGATCTTAATTAGTTCCTCACTGAAAAGTACCTGTAAAACCTATAGAATTATGGCAGAATTATGAGTGGAATTGCACATATCTGTGTTAAAATATTAAAGATGACTTTTTTGGTTGAGTGGAGATATTCAAACTGTGTCCCCTCCAATCAACTCATCACAAAATCTAACTAAAAAACAGCTCATTAACATTTAGCAGGGTCAACATAATAATTGAGGGTGGCACAGTGGTGTAGTGGTTAGCATTATGGCCTCGCAGTGTTGGGGCTCTGGTTTCAATTCTTTGCCATGGGTACTATCTGTGTGGAGTTTGTATGTTCTCTCTACTTTGATGTCAGTTTCCTCCAGGTCCTCCTCCTAATGTCCAAAAACATATTGGTAGATCAATTGTCTCCTGGGAAAAATGGCTCTGGTGTGAGTGTAAGTGTTAGTGTTAGTGTCTGCCTGCACCACAATGGACTGGAATTCCAGGGTGTACCCAACCTTGTGCCCATTACCTTTGGCTCCTCCACAAACCTGAACTGGAAAACACAGAAAATGGATGGATGAGTATAAAAGTTGAAGAGATGGGTGTATTGGAGGGCCCAGATGTCAATAGTGTGTAAACATTGGTAGTGAAAAGGGTTTCACAGAGAAATATTTCATTTTTATTTTTATCCTATAACAGATGAGGTAAAGTTTTGCCACATTAAATCCTGTGATAAAGGGGTCTTACATTATACGTCTACAAAGTGTATCAGGGTGCCACCTAGTGGCTAAATGTGGAAAAGAAAATAATTAGGAACAGGTTTCAAGAAAGGATGTCTTGCCTGTGGTTAGCTGTTTGGTATTTATTGCTAAACCACAAAACAGAAACAGATAAAATGTATTAAATCAAGAAGCTGTTTCCCCCTTATTTTCTACTGATAATTCCTTTAAAAAATGCAGCGCCATTCTAAACATAAAAGTGCTGAACATTGACAGAAGAATGAATATCCATATTGGAGCACCATGCATCCAATATACCTTTATTTTGTGTTGCAGTGCAAATAAAAACATATTAATATGATAGAGTGAAGTGTATTTGACACAAGATCTTAATCATCTTTATTGATAGTCACATGGGTATTATTTAAATTGCGATCTGTTGTTAAAATAAAGAATTCCAAAAATATTGTTATCAATTAAGGGCCTGAACAAAGGTGTAAAATCATAAACATAAAAAATATATAGAATTTCACAAGAAGGTGTTTTATAACAATTCAATCATGCAGGTAAAATACATCTAGAAGAATAATTTTGTATCTTCACCCTGAAAACTGTGTACCCCTAGGT